CTACGGTGCTTCATGTGCCATGCCGGATTCCGCCAATCCTCCACGTACCATCAGCACATGAGGAATTAAAATGGAGACTGAAATGTGATCCTTCCTCAGCAGAAGCATCCACAGCTCCTGCCTCCACGTGACATCTACACATACACATGCATGTGATTTCTGTATAGCCCTTCCTTAATCAGTGAGGCTATGCCTTGTAATTTCCTATTATTTCCATCCATCATCCCGTTCTTTCAGCATGCAAGGCTAAAGAGGTCAATTTGGTTCACTAACATTTTCAAAATGCCTAAAAAATGGCTATTTTGTTTTCTATAAGTAAATCGATGTATCTGTAAAAAAAACAAAAAAAGGGGGGGGGAGCACAGCAGAGGGAGGGTTATTCACCTTCTGCTGGTTGAGCCTTCCCTCTCACCACGGAGCTGATTTGTCCTGTAGCCACTGCTGATTCCTTTGCTGAGTTGGGAGCCACTGTTTCCCGGTTTCTGTCATTGACTGAGGACCAGCAGCTCTTCAGGAGCCCTCCAGGGATTGGGAGCTGTATTAGGACTGTGGAGGCACCCAGCCCTGCAGACTGAGCGACTGGCGTGCTCATGGCTTCTCCAGTGTGGGACTGCCTTAGCTTCTGAGGCCCCATCCAGGCTCAAGAAAGAGCGACTACCAGCTCTAGCCCTTCTCAGGTGTGATTCAGCTGTCCTGACTACTTTGAAGCTAATAAATCCTTTCCATATGTGTGTACATATACGTATTCCTATTGATTCTGTCAGTTCCACTCCTCTAGAGAACCCCGTGTAATACAAAGTCACAATCTCACAACGGTGCGTACTTCCCGTTTCTTCCCTTTATTAGCTGTACTCCTTGTGATTTTACTTTTAGATGTTATAAATGCCACCCTATTTTTGTTTAAACAGTACAGTCTCTTCTAAACAAGTTTAGAGAACAACGCAGCATGTAGATTTACCTAAGCAGCTGCCATTTCAGTGCTTCTTTGTATATCTGGGTTCCGAGACGACATCAGACATCGCAACACGTTCTGACTACCGAAAATATTTTCATTCCTATAAATATTTCTGAGTTTTGTTCTAGAGTGCAATTAAGTTGCTTGGAAACTGTGATTCCTTTGCCTCTTACTTTTAAGATTGTTTCTCAAAACTAGATCAGCACTCAGTCTTGAGAGAATAACTCTAACTACTGCAGCAAGTACTCTACACTATATGCTATCATTCTGTCTCCTCAGTTCCCAGACAATCAGGAAATTTTTCATCCTATCTGATGAGACATGTCATGTCTAATTCTCCCAGTTCCCAATCAGGAAATTTTTCATCCTATCTGATGAGACATGTCATGTCTAATTCTCAGGTATGTCAAACTGTAGCTGAATGACGTACATGTGAAGAAACATGTATGTCCAAAGACGGCCCTCTGCAGCTCTCAAGTTCTCTCTGTCCTTCAGTAACATGCCTTGTAATCCTGGGCTCTCCAGACTCAAAACTGGTTTTCCTCAAGTTAGGTAATTCAATAGGCCCTTCCTGGATTCCCCCACAGTGTACCACAGCGTGGGCTTGCTCCCAAATGTGAGACAAGTCACAAAGGAGTCATTTCACTTGTTTTCCATCTTTTAGATCACTGCGCTTTGTTCTGATTCCTCTGGCCTTGAAACCATGGTCTGATGTATGTTGTCTGTTGTGGTTTTAGGCAGGAGGGTAATGTGCTCACTCTGTCTTGTCTCTAAGCATAATTCCTGAGTTATTTCTTATGAAAAAGGAAGGCTGACTCAGCTACACTGAGTACCAAGGGCAGAGGAAAGAGCTAAGGACACTTCTCAAGAAACAGGGCTAAGGCCCTAATCCAGAAAATGGCCATATATGCCCACCTTAATTTTAGAACTGCTGTATTTCTTCCATCTTCCTTCTTTTCGGTGACTATGCCTCCTGCAGTTACAATACCCTGCTCTCACTGCTGTGGGTCTGATGACTGTAAATATCTGTGTGTAGGGATGGTGCAGCTAATTTTTCTGAGTGCACAGGTTTTCAGACTAGATTGAAAACACCTGAACAGCTTCATTTCCATCTGGACTTGCTTTAGATGAGACCCTGAACCATAAGCTTAAGCCCAAACCCCTACTGAGACAAGACTTTCTTAGGATTTGAACATGCTTTTTATGTGGGAGAAATGTTAATATGTACGCAGAGGGTAAACTGCAATGAATTAAAGATGGTCACACATTATTACACATTTCTCCTATCAAAAGGCGAGATTATAAACTGGGTGTGGTGATGTATTTAATCCCAGCAATCAGAAGGCAGAGTTGGATAGATCTCTAAAAGATAGAGGCCAGCCTGGTCTACATAGCAAGTTCCAAGTCAGCTGAGGCTACAGAAAGGCCTTGTCATTAAAAAAACAAAAGGTGAGATTATGACCCCTCCTCTTTTAATATTTTTTCTTATTTTTGTGTATGAATGTTTTGTCTGCATGTATTTAAGTGCATCTGTGCTGTGCAATAGCTGTAGAGGACCAAAGAAGGTGTCAGATCTCCTGGCACTGTGGTTTTGGATGGTTGTTAGCTCCCATGTGGATGCTGGGAATCAAACCTGGATCCTCTGGAAGAACAGCAAATGTTGTTAAGCACTGAACCATCTCTCCAATCCCATGACCCCTCTTCTTAAATGTAGGTAGACTCTAAATCAAGTTTGACAAACACAATACAGCAAAAGGAAGTTGTGTTGGTATGCCCCCACTACATGACTGGCACATCCCACCTCCTGTGTCTTTGGAGTCCTTTGGAATAGTTACTCTGGTGGAAGTTATAAGGAATTATAGCAATATAACAACATAAGTAATATAGACTATTCCAACTACCCTAAAGCTGTCATATACAGTTTTATGAAAAGATCCCAAACTGTTTTTGCTCAGACACCAGCCATGTAAGTGAAGGAACTATCTGGAACAATCCAGATCCAACATTTGCAAAATGAAGGGCAGAAGCCCTCAACATCCAGTTCCAGTCATCTCCAGATGTTTGAGCCCTTTCAGCCCAGGGTCCAGACAACAGAAAGCAGAGGCAAAGCATCGTGACCATAAGACAGAAGAAAATGGCTAGAACTTGTGCAAGCCACTAAAATTTAGAGAAATTTACTATGCATCAAGAAATAATCAAACAGGAGCCAAGTCAGGGGTTCAGTTAGGATACGCCTGTCGGAGATTCAGTAAAGATGTCTAGCTGGTTTTAGATGTACAAGAATTTCAGGGAAGGGGTCTGGAGTACAGATACAAGCTTGTAAGACACCTGCCTTGGGTCTGTCTGTGTTTCCTTTTCCACAGTATTTATCACCTCTGGTATTTTCTGGATAATTTGTCTAATGTTTATTATCTGTTTTCTAGCACAACGTAAGCTCCTCAAAGATAAGCACTATTTTATTCACTAATGTATTCCATACATGCAGAACAGTGACTGGCACATAGAAGGTACTTAGAATACCTGTTGAATAAACAAGGCAACTTAAAAACTATATACAAGCTGGGAAATAAGGCAGAGAAGGAGGTTCCAGAAGCAGAAGATTAACATATGAGAAAAACAATGGCAGAGGAAGACTGGAAACACACAGACTACATGTAGCAAAACAGGAGGCACAGAAAAAAAGCCCTACAGTAACATGTAGAGGCCAGAACTCACTATTAGCCCAAGTGGGTTTGGAATGCATGGTAATCCTCCTGCCTCAGCCTCTCAAGTGTTGGGTTTACAGATGTGAACCAACATGCCCAACTTTTTGTTGGTTTCTAAATCTCTTAGTAAAACAGAAAAGTCATCATCTGAGAAAGATGAAGGAAAGTACAGAATAATTCCTCAGCACTGTGCTCAAATATATTTTAAATGATCATTTTATGCTGTAATTATTTATGTGTGTACCTTACAATAAAGGTATAGGGAGCATTTTTCCTTTTTGAACTGCCAGCATATAATACGGCACTCTACAACCAGATGGAAATGAACGGCGCAGATTCTTTAAAGACTTCAGGACAAAGCCAGTAGCTGAAAGCACATGTCAATCCGTTTGATGTGTATATACACCCATGCATATATACAAACAGACTCACACACATACTCAAATGCAATCTGCAAACACTGAGGATTAAAACCATTAAACTTCAACTTATTTATGAAATTTAAAAAGAACAAAACACTTGCCTTGTTTAACACACAGGAAACATGAGTTGCTAGTACTAAAGTAAGTATGTGAAAAAGCCACTTCAGAGCATGGCTCACCCTGATTCCAGGCAGTCAACATTTTATGACAAAATGTCAAAGCTCAGTTTTCATAAAAATATGTTTTTAAAAAGAATTATTATAATACACATTTTATAAATACAAAGTTTTCTTAAGATGAGGTGTTAAGAACAATACAAAATTACATACTTAGATCAAATAGGAACAAGAGAATACCCCTTGACACTTGAACACACTCGCTGTTGAACATTTATGACAATCATTATAACCCTAAAACAAGGATTTACCTACAGAGTTTAACTTTATACAAACCCCAAATAACTGAGAGTTGTGTTATTCACAACAATTACTTTGAAGATCACCAAAATAATTCAGATTATTTAAAAGTCTAGAAATAAAGGCTTGAATTTATGTATATTTTCATCATTTAATTCTTTAATACTTTTGAGACATTCCTTTTCTTTAACAAACAGAAAACACAGTGATCTATAGGCTACCAGTAAAAAAAAAAATTAAAAATTTTTCCATAAAAGTCTATGAAAATTCATTTCAGTTGCTGCTAAATGCATCTTGTAAAACACAAAGAAGCCCAGGAACAGACTCTCAGAAGCAGACCACTTTCCTCCAGAGCCTGCTAGGCTCTGCCTGAGACAAGTCCTCTCGAGATAAACCGAATGATGCAGCACAGCTAGAAGTAGGAACAGAGGGCAGGTGAGCAGATCACCAGGAACCACGAGGAAGAAAACAACAGGATCCAGCAGGACGAGGCTGTCAGCAACAGACTCTCAGAAGCAGACCACTTTCCTCCAGAGCCTGCTAGGCCTCCTTAGCTACTGCCTGAGACAAGTCCTCTCGAGATGAACCGAATGATGCAGCAGTAGGAACAGAGGGCAGGTGAGCAGATCACCCCAACATCTCTGCTCTGACTCCAGTCACCAAAGTAAAGTCCCCAGGAACCACGAGGAAGAAAACAACAGGATCCAGCAGGACGAGGCTGTCAGAGACCCAGAGCAGTCTGCTGTTGCTGCCTTCCCCTCTGACAGAGGCTCAGTTGTCTGGCTGGATGCAGTGGACAGAAGAGGAAATTAAACATGGTGGTGCACTTCAACAACTCTTATTTTTGGTGACATCATATGGCTTCCACCACTGAGCAAACTGTAGCACTTTCTTCCTCTGGTCCTCAAAGCTTTCTCGGATCCCTTTCCTCCAAAGTCTGGGTTCCAGATCCAGCATACCACCAATGATTTCCTTTTGCAGAGGAAGAAAAATATGGATATATGCATGTATAAGCAATACGTCCATCAGGAATGGAACTGCTCATTTATTCACAAACAGCCCCTTGGGACAACGGACAAATATTGCCTTAGTTTCAGGCAAATTAAACCTTTTTTTTTTCTTCCCGATTTTAACTATGAAAACCTTATGATTCTTCAAGTCCTAGCTGCCTCCTCTCACGCAATCTGACTACTTGGTTGTTTGTTTATAAATCTGACAGTTGGGGGGGGGGATGAAATTTGATTCATCTGATCCATATTAACTACTATTGGACCAAAGTTAACCAACTTGTAACAATTAACTTCCTTTTCAACTGAAGTTGAACCTAAATTCATGCTTTTTCAGTTACCAGTACATTTATAAACCAGAGTTTTCCACTATTAACTAAAAATCTTTTTATCAGGAAAACAAAATCATATTTTAATATTAATCTAACTAAATCTAGAATTTCAAATTATAAATCTGGCACTGGAGAGGTGGCTTAGGGGTTAAGAGCACTGACTGCTCTCACAGAGAACCTCAGTTTAGTTCCCAGCACCCAAATGGTGGCCTAACAACTGTCCATAACTCCAGTTTCAGAGGCTCCAACATCCTCTTCTGGCCTCCATGGGCATTGCACAACAGTGTATGTGCACTCACATATATGCAGGCAATACAGTCATATGAATAAAATAAAAATAATAAAATAATAAAAATAAATAAAAATCATAAATCACTTTCATTTTACAAGTCACATTCTCACACTGTGAAAGGAATATCTATTGGTTCTCTGTTTATTAGGCTGGATTATTTCCCTCATGATTCTCCCTTTGTGTTGTTAGCTCCAGAACTGAATCGAACATATGCATGTGAATATCCACGTTCTGAAAGGAGAGGCTCAGAGGGAAGGCAGCATGGCGCTGCAGACAGGAAAGCACAGGAGTCAGAGTCCCATTCAGCACAGTTCTGCTGGATGCTGTGATAAGAGCTTACACAGATTACATAACTTCCTAAGACAGGTTCTCTACCTTAATAAAAAAAATCGTGAAGACCTACTATACACGTGCACGCACTTGCTGTCTGTTTCAGGGGACACAAAGATAACTAGTGTATCTGTCACCACAGAACCCGTAGAAGGTTATGGAGATATGATGAGAGCTACAACATTTAATGACTCGGCTATACAGAGGGAGAAGGTAGCTGTAAAGCAGGCCATTCAGAGATCCAAAAAGAAGAAAAATTTCTATTTGTTGTATACACCAAGAAAACGTACAAGGAAAAGGGAACTTCTTGTCATTAGGGAAAGTACTCAAGAGAAACTGGACACATTGAGATTTAGTACAAGAGTTTCCTGATACCACTCCAGCTAAGCAGTGTAGTTCGGGAAAGAATGGTTTATATATTTGCCTGAAATTGTCTCCAGAAAACCTCACTTACACCATGTAAGAATAGACCCTCTCCTAATGACAATTTCGGCCAACACTGTCAAAAATGTCTGGTTACAAGGTGATATCCCTGACTGCTAAGAAGATTCTGGGATATTTTTACTGATACTTTCTAGCTTCTTTCATCAAAGTTTATCAAACTCGTTGTATGCTATGTCCAAACCTTTGATTTCCTTTCACAAGGAAAGTATTAACCAAACTTCTGACCTCTTGGATTTTATCAAATCTGTCAATATACCTTTCCAAAGTAATGAGGGAATTTGTGTTGATCTTCAATGACATGGGCAAATCCTCCCTGAAGACCAAAATCCACAGAGAAGTAAGGCAAGCCTCTGGGTACCTAAGTGAACAAACAAATCCCATATGAGAGAAAGCATGAAATTAGAATACAAGGCTAAATCTCTTTTCCTGATTCTCGGCCATGACAGCAGCTGCCAATGACTCGGTTCACAATGAACTTGCAGTGCTAGAGACACCTTAAGCAATGGCCTAACTTTTCAAGTAAAAGGTTTCATTTTGACAGCCTTTTGGCCACACAGCGCTGAATCAATTCTAGCAGCTTACAAGCAAAATCTATTATTTTCCTGTCCTTGGAGATAACAGCAAAAAGACACTTAGATTTTTCAAATTTTTTGTCTTTTTTTTGAGACAGGGTCTCCCTGTAGCTCCAGTTGGCCTGGAACTCGCTATGTAGACCAGGCTGGCCTTGAACTCACAGAGATCCACCTGCCTCTGCCTCCCAAGTGCTGGAATTAAAGATGTGCCACCACTCCCGACTTGACACTTAAATATTTTTATATAGCCACAGAATAACTTTCCTATGACTACACAAATAAAGATCAAGGATATGTTTTTCCATATTTTACTGACAGTGCAGATTAGGAAGAGGGGCTTAGCCATATACATGGAGTTTTTCTTACAAATGCTTCACATCTTCACTATGACATATTTATCAAACATAGATCATTTTATAACTAACTGATAAGGTGAATATAGCAATATTATCAACCTAGTTTCAAAATATCTCTGGGATTAACTATTATCCTTCCTTTCTTTACACATGCATGCACACACAGTATTTAAAGCTATATGTTGGTTAAAAAGGGCTATGATTTCATGCTTTATCTATCATTAAGTACACTTTTCATTTTTGCAAATTTTTCTTTCTTGTATGTTATTTTTTTTTCTGAGACATGTTATCTCTGTAGGCTCAGTTGGCCTGGAACTCACTATGTAGACCAGGCTGGCCTGGATCTCACAGAGATCTGCCTGCCTCTGTCTCCTGAGTGCTGGAATTAAAGACATGTGTCACCATGTCCAGCTCTCAAATTATTCTAAGTTCCAAGTTTATCTTTAGTAATTGTCTGAGTCAATCACAGTTAAGTTTTCCCCTCTAATGCCATCACACATCATCTGGACACTGAACCATACATTCCTACATGATACATACATTTTGTATTATGTGCCTAGAAATGTGAAAGGGCGCAGTACTGCAGTGGAAACAATGATAATCTCAAATTATTACAAATAATAAAATAAATAAATAAAATTAAGGCCAATAAAGAGTTGCTCAAATTTTAGGAAAAGCATGAATTAAAAAAAGTTTACAAAGTAGTATCAATTAAAATGCAGAAAAATGAGCTGTTACTTTATGTATTTATATTTTTCTACATTTCCACATTTTTCAGATAATCATGTATGAATTTAACAATTCGGAAAAAAAGTAAAGAAAAGGGAGACTAGGATGGATGGCTAGGGTCTAAATGCCTATCTGCTCCCTAAGTGTGTGACACCAGGCAGAGTATCCAACACCTGAGTCTCATGAGAAACATGAAGAGCTCACAGGTTTGCTGGGAAGAGCAAAGAGAACTTATGCAAAGTGCCCAGCTCAAGCTGTAGCATCCGGGAGGTTATTACTTCATTTCTATACTCTGCAGAAAGCTATGTGCAAAGCTGCCTAGTGACGAAAGCAAAGAAGGCTGCATTAGAATACTTGACCATCTGAGCTAGTCATCAGGCAGGCAGCACGAAGCTAGAGGGCGACATGGACTGAAGGACTCAGAAGTAACTTGGAGGGATGTGTCACCAGTGACAGCACACTTCCCCTTTCCTTGTATTACAGTGTGGTAGGCAGAGTAACAGCCCCCTTTCATGTGTCAATACCCTAGTCCCACATTTGCCGCAAAGATGTTACCTCACATGGCAAAAGGGGCTTAAAAGTGCGGATAAGGTAAGACATGAAATGGTGACCCATATTATTCACATGAGCTAAATATATTCACTAGATATTCAGAAGAGACAGCAGGCTCTGAGTCACAGAGAGACTAGAGACACTAAGCTCTTTATTTTGAAGATGAAGGAAGGGCAACAAGTCATGGGACACAGACAGCTTCTAGCAACTGGACAATCACAAGGGAGCAAATCTTCCCTAGAGCTGGGTCTGGTGGCCCAGGCCTATAATCACAGCTACGCTGGAGGCTGAGGCAGAAAGACTGCAAGTTCAAGGCCAGCTGGGCAATAGAGAGTTCAAAGCCAGCTTGGGAAATTTAATGAGCCTGTATTTAAAAATAAAAAGAGGGCTGGGGATATAGCTCAGTGGTATATGCATGAAGCTCTAGGTTCAGTTCCTAGTACAGCAAAAACCACAACAGAATAAAATTAAACACTTGTCAGGTGTGGCACTGCACGCCTTTAATCCCATCACTGAGGAGGCAAGGGAAGGCAGATCTCTGTGAGATCGAGGCCAGCCTGGTCTACATAAGAAGTTCTCTAGAGGAACAGAGGCCTGAAGACATCCAGATTTTTAACCCAACAAAGCCTGCATCATACTTGTTGATGTCCAGAACTATAATATAACTGTGTGGCATTTAAAGCCATTTCTCACCACAGCATAGAAAACTAATACACACCAACACTGAATCCCTAGGGGCATTTGCCCAGATGGCAAGACAGATTCACAACATGTTTACACAGATGACCGCTACTGTCAGGCTTCTCCTTCATTCTTTCTGGAGCTCCAACAGGAGGACCTGCAGTCTTGCTAGACCAGTGGGCTGGTGGGCACTGTGAAGGCTCTAGATCACAGTGTATGAATTCACTTTCAGCACTCTCTCTTTCTTGCCTTTGCCTCCACAGGGAAATTGCTAGAACTCTGGTACCACTGTAAAAGTATGAACAGAACTGCAGCAAAGTAATACACAACTTCAGGGTTTTCATCAAATAAATTTTTATTTTATGCATGAGTGTACTGCCTGCATGTATGTAATTGTATCTGTGTTGTGTAATGCCCACACAGGTAAGCCAAGAAGGCATTGGATCCCCAGGAACTGAAGTTATGGACAGCTGTTAGCCACCATGTACGTGCTGGGAACCAAATCTGGATCCTCTACAAGAGCAGTCAGTGCCCTTAACTGCTGAGTCATCTCTCCAGTCCCCAAACTTCAGTTTTTAAATCTGAATTTCTCCCTTTTATTTCGGCAGTAATTCCTAACTTTCTGTAAGTTTTTAGATCTCTGGCTAACTCAAATTTCCCTTGCAAAGTATTTTCCTTAATTTAAAATGAAATCAATCCCTAAAAGTTGATTGTTATAGCTCCCACAAACTTCACCTTAAAAATACTTTAAAAGTTGAGCAAGAATTTCCCTGAACTCTCTAACAGTTTTCTGAAAAATGAGGATTTTTCTTGACAAGTTACTTATTTTCACACAGTTCCTCTGCACTGAATATTCAGATCTGTTTCCCTCATCTACTGTCTTGGGCTTCATATCACACTGGAAAAGTCCTGGAGGAAGGAAGGAAGCCAAGTGAGCAGAAAGGGACAAGCACACAGCAATGAAAAACAGAAATTCAGAGAAATCAGACTAAATCACAAGTATGTGGCTCTCTATAAAAACCTAAGAACACATTTGATGAAAAAAAAATCAACAAGACAGGCAAAAGACTTTTGAAGTTACTAAGGACATAAAGCTGTTAGAAGAATGTTAATAAGTCTTTTCAGACATAAAAATGTTAAAGTAACTCAGTGTTTTTTCACTTCAGGCTCAGAAACACCTACCATTTTTAAAAGACGCTGGAAAGCTTGAAAGCCTGAAAAGTGGCCTCCTTTGGAGCTATCCTGACACAACACTCTCTTCACTGTCCACCCACGTCATTAACTACAGAACCCCAAACCTAAGATGCACCAAGACAAGCTGTCTGTGTTCTTCCCCATCTGCTGCTGCTTTCCAAGGACCTCCAACAAAAAACATGATCAAGCCACACATGGTGGCACATGCCTTTAATCCCATCATTCCAGAGGCAGAGGCAGGCAGATCTATGTGAGATCAAGGCCAGCCTGGTCTACAAGACAAGTTCCAGGCCACTGAGGTTACAAGTAGACCCTGAAAAAAACAAAAACAAAACACACACACACACACACACATGCACGCACGCACACGCTCACGCACACACATGTGCGCAAACAAAGGCAAGAAACCAAAACAAAATCGCAGTCTTCTTCGGAGTGCTTTAATGCTGAATATACAGCTCTGTCTGTTCCTTGTTTTCCATACTGATTATGTTACTAAGATATCCCAGTTACTTAACTCGACCAAAGTACTAGGTGGTACACCAGTTGCATTTACAGTAAAGGAAATAAAGAAAAATACATTTCTTTTAAACTATCTATTTGATGAGCCAGGCATGGTGGTGCATGCCTTTGGACCCAGAACTCAAGAGGCAGAGGCAGAAGGATCTCTGTGAGTTCAAGGCCGGCCTTGTCTACATAGTGAGTTTCAGGCCAGAGAGGACTACAAAGAGACCCTGTCTCAAAAAAATAAATATCTATTTAAGGGATGGAGAGATGACTCAGCAGTTAAGAGCACTGGCAGCTCTAGCAGAAGACCTGGGTTCAGTTCCCAGCGCCCACATGGCGGCTAACAACTGTTCCTACTCCAGTACCAGGGTATCTAACGTCTTCTTCTGACCTCCTCGGGAATGTACAACATGGCTACACATATATACATGAAGGCAAAACATTCATACAAATAAAATAAAACTAAAATACCTATTTAAAATATATTTGACTGTTATTAAAATTTTCTGAATTTTTTAGTATAAAATTTTAAGACGTAAAATCTGGATACAAAAAACTATACAGCTTTTTCTATAGGCTGACCAGGAGAGGAGTAAACATACTCATGATATGTTTCTGTTTTGTTTTCTTAAAAATCTGGCCCAATTCACTAGCAAGGGGACAGAGACTGCAGACAGCATTCTACTCTGAATTAAAATGATGCACCTTCAACAGTGCATGCATGTGAATCTCTGACTGGGCTGCAAACAGGTAATGTTATCTGGCTATGTGTTTGCATCAGATATCCGGCTTTCCAAAAGCAGAAATGAAGGAGGAATATTCCAGTGACATCTACAAGGACACAGGTAGCCTAACGGTTTCTGTCAAAGGGCCTCATGCTACAGGGTTTTCTTTCGGTGCTGCAGGTCATCTAGGATCTGCTAGGACTGTTGAACCCTTAGCAGCACGAAAGCCCCCAGAGGCAGTACTCCATAGAACTGGTCCTGCTCCAGAATACCTCTACATGTCAATGGGAGAAAAGGAGTCTAGTGCAGGGGCTGAGCTGCCACGCCTGCACTGCAGTGCCAGAAGGCAAGCATTCCGAGATCTACTGCGCACACACCTGCATCGTGCTCTCAGAAAAAACTTGCAGGATGACTCTTTTTTTTCTTTTGAGACAAGGTCTCCCTGTAGCCCCAGATGGCCTGGAACTTGCTGTGGGGACCAGGCAGCCTTTGAACTCAGAGAGATCCAGCTGCCCCTGCCTCCCAAGTGCTGGGTTTAAAGGCATGTGCCCCATGCCCAGCTTAGAATGACTTATTTTTAAAAGGAAATTCAAAAGCAATCTATACAACTATTAAATCTCTATTCAATATAATGTATATTTCTGTAAAAGATAAGTCATTATAGAAGTAGTTAATATATTGCATCTGAAAGTTGATCTGCAAGTAAAAATTGTACTGTATAATCCCAGCACTCGGGAGGCAGAGGCAGGCGGATCTCTGTGAGTTCAAGGCCAGCCTGGTCTACATAGTGAGTTCCAGGACAGCTGGGGCTACAGGGAGACCCTGTCTCAAAAAGACCAAAAAAAAAAAAAAAAATTGTACTGTAATACATGACTCAGGAACTCCCCAAAGGGATAAATCCATAATCTGATCCAAGTACTATTTCATAGGAATGCAGCATAAATTTTTGCATAAAAACAAATTAGGGTGAGGGAGATGGCCCGTGGGCAAAGAGCCTCCCAGATAAGCATGAGGGCCTGAACTTGGATCCCGGAACCCATGTGAGGGGCATGTGGCAGTGGGATTACATCTGTAATCCCAGGCCTCCCATGGCAAGATGGGAAGTAGAGACAGGAGAAACACTGGAATTAAGTGGGCCAGTCAGCCTGGTGCGCGCATCAATGAGCAAGAGACCATCTCAAAGGAGATGAAAGGTGATGACTGATACCCAAGGTTATCCTCTGACCTCCCACACTCACATACTCACATACCCTCCACCCCAAATTTTTTAATGAGGAGAAGAGAGAGGGAGAGGGGAGGGAAGAAGAGGGAAAGAAGCTATTCTAAATCAAAATGAAGCCCATACAGAATTCTTTCTTTCATTATAACTCCAGTAACTAGAATACCCTTCTCCCTCTGTCCCACAGGCTCTGAGATGCCCCTGTGGCAGCTGACAGCCCCTGCCACCACAGCAATTATGGGGACTATAGGCAGGGACTGAGGGCCAGGAGGAAACATTTACTTGAACAAATAAAATTCCTATAAGGAAATAAGCATTTCATAGACCAGACAGGATCTTGATTGATGCATTTACTTAATTCACCTTTAGTTGCTCAGCCGAAGGCTGTTCTCAACTAAGAGGTGGGCATCAATGCAGATTCTGAACATGAGTAATCTCTTATACTAGAAAAAAAATTAATACTTACAGACTTTCTAATATCTTTTGAAGACAAATCAATCAACTTCTTGTTCATGGACCATTCTTCATCGGATTCCATTATGGCTTTCTAAGAAATATCCATCGACAATGAAAAACCAATAGAGCAGCGAATGCAAAGAAACAATTTGTGTGTGTGGTGTGTGTGTGTGTGTGTGTGTGTGTGTGTGTGTGTGTTCTTTCTGAGACAAGGTCTCCCTGTAGCCCCATCTGGCCTGGAACTGGCTATGTAGACAAAGCCGGCCTTGAACTCAGAGATCCGCCTACCTCTGCCTCCCAAGTGCTGGGATTAAAGGCGTGTGCCACCATGACTGGCAAGAAACCATCTCTACATAGTTTTACAACCTTCTTTTTAAAAAGGGGGACTTCAGTTTTTAAAACAGTTTTTCTCTGTATGTTTACTGCTTTGCTGTATTTTTGGTAGTCACAAAGCATATCCAATTACTCTTTTGGTATTTGGAAGAAGAGCAGTAAAAGTAAATTAATTTATTTGAGGATATTTCTATGAATACAAAAAGAAATTTGTGAACATTTATATTCACTGATCATGTTCTGTGTTGAAATGCTTGGCCTTATCAAGGATTGGTTTTTGTTGTGTAAAGCTGAGCTGAAGTCACCTTAGAGTTAAGAATGAATAAATAATACTAGTTAACTAATATGCATACTATTTATAAAATAATCTCATTCAACTAAGTACAACTAAATCAGATACACGTTGCTGCCCATTTACAGAAGCGCAGCTGCCTGGCTTCTCGTCACATGCAGCACATACAATAAACGACTGAAGGCAAGCAGCCTGCTGCTGCAGGGCTACACTCCAAGCTACCTGGAGGATGTGGAGAGACGGTCCCAAGTTCAAGACCTGCATGGGCTTCAGAGTGAGTCCCTGGCCGGCCTGGGCAACTTATTGAGACCTTGTCTTGAAATAAGGAGTAAAAAGGGGCCAGAGGACATAGGTCAGTGGTAGAACTACCTGATTGCACACATGAGTCTTTGGGTTCAATCCCCAGTAATGCCCCCCCAAAATATGTAAAGCCAAGTGAAACACAGATAAAATACACCTTTAATGATACACAAAGGATCTAAGAAAAGTAAGACACCGTTTTGCTAAAAGTTGACATCTCTGCCATCACGTGAGCAACAGTGGCTGCTCTAAGTTGGTTCCTCCTTTCATTTCAAACACCTTCTAGTCACAATCACCTACGATCACTCGATAACAGAAACAAACATTCCATAAAGGTCGAATAATCTCTCAACTAAGGGTGACTGATATAGAACTAAAATGGGTCTTGAGATTATCTGGTTTACTCCCCTCCACTTTCATAGGACACGTGTTTAAACCAAATCAGGTTTGAAGACCTCTAAAAGAAAATAGATTATCAATTCAATAAAAGATTTCATAACCCTTTTTATTGGAAGCAATAGTGCATATTATTAAATGTTGTCACCTCACACTAAGCATTTCACAAGCCATGGCCCACCCCAATTCACAGACTATCACCTTCCCTTTTCATGCTGCTGATGTCTCACATTTGACTTTATACTTATGCATTTGCATTAGTCTATAAATTGCATTAAGACAGCATCAAACACATTATTTAGTAAATCTTCTTGGCTCTTACAGTGATACCTCCTTGGTTATGAATTCCAGCACTTCTTACATGTCCAAAAATATACAGGACTCAAAATTTTTCTTTTTATAAGTAGATTACTGTGATAATAAATGCTAAAATTTACAGCAATCACTTGTGACAGGAACTGAGCTTTCTGTTGTTGGTATGTTGCTGCTGGCTCTGGCTCTTCAATGATCACTCTTTTAGAGTTATGACTACAAGTTTGACTTGGAAGTGTTTCATGGTAAAACAATGACTTCACTAGAGAAATTAAAATAGAATCTATAAATCACTCTTAGATAGCATATTTACACTTCTAAGCAAGCATCCTTCTAAAAAACAAAACTCCAAATTTCTTCCAACAGAAATGTATTCAGAATATGTTGTGCTTTACCTAATTTCTTTATATGATACAAAATTTGCTAGAGAAGAAAAAATATATGAATAACAACCACTGTAGCAACAAAAAGAAAGTATGCAAAACTGCCTATAAATACCTTAAAATAGATAGGAGCCATGTCACCCACTTCCCTTGGGAGGGGAATGCATTCATAAACCATATGATACTGTTTCTTCATGCCCATGTTAGTCTCCAGAAAGATACAGTCCAATCCTTTATCTTCAAACATCTTTACCAACGATTTCCTAAACATCTAAAGGAAGGAAAAAAAGATGATGTGCATATATTCAAGGACTTTTCCATGTGTGAAAAAGTCTTTAGTTTAAAAATTATCAGTTTGATGGAATAATGTGAGGTAATCAATGCCATTAAAAGCAAATTTTTCTCCAAGTTCAACATAAAAACATACATATTTAAAAAATACTTTTAGGCTATATAGCAGCAAGGCCATTAGGAAAGTTTTTGTGGTTCATTATCATAGGGTATACCAGAACTATTTCATCCTTCGGTGATGCAGAGATCTGACAGTACCAACATGACATGAAATAATTCCCATGTTTCCAGCTGAATGCACTTCGTTCTTTGAGTCATCTCTAGGTTTCCTTATTTATAAACTATTATTACCCATTTAATTGCCCATTCTCCAGTGGACTCATCAGTGCATCTAGACCAAAGTTACTTATGTTTAAGTTGGTGATACTATAGAACATTGTCATTCACAATATGCATTCACATATTAAAAAAATAATCAAGTTTGCACAAGCAATTCTGAATTTAAAATTATTTCCTTTAATACTAAATCTAGATTGTATTCTATCTAGATTATAAGCTAATACTACAATTTATGCATGTTTTATAAATATAACATGTCTAGGTCTTTTTTCGTTTTGATTTGGGGGCAGTGGTTGAGATGAAGTCTCAGTGTAGCCCAGGCTGGCTTCAACTCTATGTATCTAGCCTTTAATTCCCGATCCCCCTGCTGCTACCTCCAAAGTGCACCAATGCTAGGTGTGCTACCACATCTGGTTTAAAAAGAGCAAGTCTAAAATATCCAAAGACAAATATTATGAAACCAGATAAAAAACACATCTATCTCCACTCATTCTATGGGAAAATTTTTCAAAAAAGACATGAAATCAATTTTTTAAATGCATAAACCCACTTGAGCAAAGATGATGAGAGAAGGTGCAATGGAAACCAGATCACAGGGCTGAGGAAATGGCTCCATGAGTAAGAGTGCTTGCTGTGCAAGCATGAGGACCTGAGTTCAGACCTCCGCACCCACAGAGAAGCTGGGGGTGGCCACGCACACTTGTAGCCCAGCAGAGATAGGAGGATCCCTGGGGTTTGCTGGCCTCTAGACTAACTGAAAAACAGTGAGCCATAGGTTCAGTGAGAAGCCCTGTCTCAAGGGAATAAGGCAGAGGTGACTAAACAGGGAACCTGACATCCTCCTCTGGCTCCCATAACTGCACACATAAGCACCACATGTGCATGAATGCACACACACGTCCATACACGCACACGCACACACAATTTCAAAAAGGAATAGGAAAGCAGACCACCCCACAACAGCTGGCTTATGTGCAAAAAGCTGGCTCATATTCTGAGGGGAGGGTAAGCAGGAGATCAGGGAGGAAACCCATGCTACCCTGAAGAAGCCTCACAAGCCTGGCACCACCATGTACTTCCAGAGGCACAGGGCAAACTGTAGCCAAAACAGATGCTTAGCTCAGGCCAAAGCTTTTTGAAGAAGCAATGAACACATCAGATCTCCTCCTCACTAACAAAACACTAAAGGATGATCCTCCAGAAAAGGTAAAACAAGGCAGCTGAGCTGAGGAAATCAGACACAGAGACACACATGTCAAAGCAGAGGTGACAGGAAAGGTTACTGAGCGCTGCTACATTCTCATCATTCTGTCGTCCCCTCAACCCCCAGAACACTGGCAAGCAGACTCAGACAGGAAATCAGTGTCATCTGGAGGGTCTGACTAGCCCGGACAACCAGCGCTGCCAGTTTAGCAGTGAAACGGCCCTTCCACAGATTAACTCTGCAGTGTGTCAGAGTGCTAATAATAAATTTAAAGAGAGGCCGGTGTCATTATATTTAAAGAGACTAACAATTTGGATCTTTCTCATTTGCAATTTGTCATTATTCAAGTGTGTTCTGATGAAACTTTTCTGCTAAAGAGAAGGTCCAAAGTTCAAATTAAATGTTACCAGATAATGATGACTTAAAAACAAATACTTAAAAAAGAGTTCCTGCATTTTTACGCCTTCACCTATGCCCTACTTGAACTTGTAGAGATAAAACTCACAAGTCTGGGAAGAGGAGAGGGAGGAAGGGAGGGAGGGAGGGAGGGGTAATAACTAAACTAACATAATTCTCAAACTGAAAATATGTAATTGAATCTTAGAATATAAATTTGAAATCCTATATATCTACTATAATCTTTGAATATTGTTTACTGACAAAACCAGTACTCAGGAGGCAGAGGCAGGTGGATCTCTGTGAGTTCAAGGCCAACCTGGTCTACATGGCAAGTTCCAGGCCAGCTGGGGCTATAGGGAGACCCTGGCTCAAAAAGACCAAAATGACCAAACAAAACTGTACTACCAAGCTTCAGCAATAATGTGAGATTTGTCCTGTTCTATGATGTGAGTTTGTCACCTTCCAGATTCCCCACCTATACACAGTCTTTCAACATAATCATGTCACTTCTTTAAAGAAAGCAATGCCAAACCAAATAAAACTGTACTACCAAGCTTCAGCAATAATGTGAGATTTGTCCTGTCCTATGATGTGAGTTTGGCACTTTGCAGACTCCCCACCTACACACAGTCTTTCAACATAATCATGTCACTTCTTTAAAGAAAGCAATGCCAATAAAATATTTTAAATTTTAAAAAATACTTGAAAAAGAGTTTCTGCATTTTTCAAACAGTACTAGGTCAAACCACTTTTTAAAATACATCTAATACAATAGATGAATAAGTACAGGGGTACTTACCATAGTATAATTAAATGGAGTTGTCATACATATTTGAGAGTAAAACAGAAATCCCAGAACACTGATTTCTTAGCTATTTCTTAGTATCACATCAATATTCTTCTGGGGATTTTTTTTCTTTTGACAAGAACTATAATGCCATTATTTGCATCTAAGAATCTGGCTTTTCTCTCTCAGTTTTCCGCAATGCCCCTGGCTCACTGAAGTGCAGTAGACACTGTGTCTTTGGGTGCAATGAGCACTTTCCCTCTGCATTTGTCACAGCACCTGAAATGCAAGCTCACGTACTCAGTCTCTGGTGAACTGGGAAGATATTTTCATCCACCTTGAGGCTTTTCATCATATACTTAATTTCTTACAGAAATATACATCATACACACTAGATTCTTGCACTGTATTTTATTCTTTTTTTTGTCCTATATGGGATGGTCGATCCTGAGCCTGCGTGGAGCAAGCTGGCCCCAGACTTCACCAAGTCCACATTTCTTTGCCTCCAATTCTTACGTGTTCGAGGATAGAGAACCAAAAACACACCTTTGCAGGAGGGGATATTTCATTCTAAGTGAAGTAGGTTTTATTATAAATTTTGAAATGTACCGCAAAAAAGCTCTGTGATAATTCTAAAAAACAAATTTCCATACCTTTCCCCTTAAATTATCTACTGTTACTAACACTCACTACTAGAAAAAAAAAATTGCACACAAAAATATTTGCCTGCATTCCTTGTCTTGTTTGGCCTTGGACACAGCAAAATGATCTGACCTTTAAATTCTGCTAGTATAAATATTAAAAGACACAGGGAATGAGAGACTACATCTCATGAAATATGGTCACATTGTTTCCCCTCTGGCATCTCTATCAGCATGTGCAAGACTAGTATATACTGCCAGATCTTCTGAAGTCTTATCAGTTCCACAGTTTCTAGCCCGGACCCTCTGTAACCTCTACTCAGTCGTCAGACACTAAAGACACAAGAGTTTGCTTTCTTTCTTGGTCATTATGAGGTCTTGAAATAATTCAGCTACAACTTCACCCATGCTGTGCCTTTCAGTCTCTCAAACAATCAGGCACAGAAACGAGTATCTGCACACCATGAGGGTGGGAAGTGCAGGCTGGGAGCAAAACCACCCCAGCACAGGACTGCAGACCTGGCGGCTCTTTTCTTCTAATTATTTCAAAGTATCTTTCCTTTTAGTTAAAATTGAGTAAGAGCACTAATTAGAAACCTGACTGATTTTTAAGTAAAAGTAACTGCCATGGTTTCAGTTTATTCAGTAAACAAAAGGCCTCAAAACATGGAGAACATGAGGTAAACAAAAGGAAGTGAGAGTGGGAACAGCATGAGCCACAGATACACACATCACTGACTGGACATAAACCCTGTTAGTTTGTCACCGTTCTTTGCAGAAGTTGCTCCTGAGCCTCCCAGTGACATGGGCATTACAGTACTGACCTGAATCTCCTCCCAGATGTCTTCATCCAGAATAGTTGCTGCTCGATGATGCTGCAGTGGGACAATGAGGCAATGCCCCTCAGTAAGAGACCGGAAGTTGGGTAAACATAAATAAACCTGGGGAAATCCCAACGGTGACATGTTATTTATTCTCAGTTATAAGACAGGATACTGTAGTAAGTTTAAAAATTGCTTATTTGGGGCCAGGTGTGGTGGCGCATGCCTTTAATCCCAGCACTCGGGAGGCAGAGGCAGGTGGATCTCTGTGAGTTCAAGGCCAGCCTGGTCTGCAGAGTGAGTTCCAGGACAGCTGGGGCTACAGGGAGACCCTGTCTCAAAAAGATCCCCCCCCAAAAAAAGCTTATTCGATAAAGCATATTTGCTTAAAAGAAATAACTTTTATTTTAATATTTTCAAAGATGCTTTTTAACCTTGAAAGACTAATGAAAATGGCTTTTAATAAACTGGAAATTTAGAGCACAAATCTGTTTCCATTGCAACACATCGAAGACTAAGATCTCCCAAGAAAGGAAAAGAAAAAAAGCTACTTTCTCTTTGAACTGAGGAGCTATGTACCCACAAGCCCTTGGAACAACAGAGATTTGCAAAATGACAAACTCTACGGATCAGTAATGTTAGTCTTGTGAAGGAAAGTTCCTGGAAAGAATGGCACCTTACACTGATTAGAAGTGATTAGCTGAGCAGATGCTAGCTAAAGACAACAGCTGAGCCTTCCCACTCTTCCAGAAACAGCCTACATGATGTTTCCACCAATGTATTTGGAAAGTGTCCTGAGTTTTTTATTTTATTTGTTCTGTTCTTATAAAAACATCATGGAACTGCTACCATGTTGGAACATGGAGTTTGGAGTAACCTAAATCCGTGTTCCTGGGCCATGGACACTTATATTTGATCCAGAATAAACCATCTCTTTTGTTCCTTTGAGGCAAAGAACTGTTTGGTTGACAGCCTAAATTATGTGTATTAATCAGCTTTTCTTTCTCTTATTACCTGAGAAAACAGAATTAACACAGCTAAGAGAAAGAGAAAATGACCTCAGGAAGGCTTTACCTCTCTGGTTAGGCTCTGCTTATTGACATATATGTATCACTTGTAACCTGGAGCTATTTTTCTATTATATACAAACTTTCTTTTTTAAAAAGAAAGGTCAGTTAGTATGTGTACAGTTAAAAAGATTTCAAGAGGAGAATAAATAATATTCTGCAAAATGGGGCCCAGGGTCTTCAGCTCAGTGGGAGACTACTTGCCTACCATGTTCAAGGTCCTGGTTAACCCCTAATACCACTAAGGTCTGCAGAAGACTTAATTTTATTTTCTAATACTTTTGTCAGGCCTTAGCTAGAGATACTGTGCATGGCAGATACTTCCTCAAAACAATATAAATATAGAAACTAAAAAAAAGAGGCCTCAAATTTCATATGGAAATACATACATATACACACACACAAATAAGATAGCCAAAATAATCTTAAATAATAAAAGAACTGCTAGAAGCAGTTATAGAGCTATAGTAATAGAAAGAGCATGGTACTGTCATAAAAACAGACACATCGATCCGTGGAATAGAACTGAGGACCCAGATTTAAGTCAATGCATTTACAGCCACTTGGTTTTTGACAAAGGATCTACAAATACACACTGGAGAAAAGACAGCACATTGAACAAATGGTGCTGGTCAAACTGGATAGCCATATTCAGAACAATGAAACTAGATCCCTTTCTCACCAGACACAAAACTCAATCCCAAATGGACCAAGGAACTCAACATAAGACCTGATACCCTGAATCTGACAGAGGAGGAAGCAGGGAACACACTGGAATGCAAAGCACAGGCGAAGACTTTCTGAACAGGACTCCTTTGGCATAGGCATTAAGTATAACAACTGACAAATGGGGCCTCATAAAACTAGAATGTTTTGTACAGCAAAGAACACCTACAGAATGGGGAAAAAAATATTTACCAGCTATTCCCCACTGACAGAGGATTAGTATATAGAATGTATGAAGAACTCAAAAAGCTAAACATGAGAAAAATGAACAACCCAACTAAAAATTGGGGCAAAGGGCTCAAAAGGGAGGTCTCAAAAGATGAAATGCAAAGGCTGAGAAATACTTTTTTTTAAATATTTTTTTAAATATTTTCTTTATTATTTTTATTTTATGTGTATGAGTGTATTGCCTGCATGTATGTGAGTGTACCCGTGTTGTGCAATGCTGCGGAGCTCAGAAAAGGGCCTCAGATTCCCCTGGACTGGAGTTAAGGACGGTTCGTAGCCGCCATGTGGGTGCTGGGAATTGAACTCAAGTCCTCTGCAAAAGTGTCAGTGCTCTTAACCACTGAGCCATCTCTCCAGCCCTGAGAAGTACTTTTTAAAAAATCTTCATCATCTTTACTCGTCAGGGAAATGCAAATCGAAACCACTTTGAGATTTCATCTTACCTTACTCAGAATGGCTAAGTTCCAAAAAATAATGACAAATGCTGGTAAGGATGTGGGAAGGGGACTCTTCGCCATGGCTGGTGGCAGTGCACTGGTGTGGCCTCTATGAAAATCAGTGTGGAGATTCTTCAGAAAATTAGAAATCAATCTACCATATGATCCAGCCATTCCACTCCTGAGCACATACCCAAGACTCTGTATTCTACTACAGAGGTACCTGTTCATCCACGTTCATTGCTGCCCTTTTCACAATAGCCAGGAAATGGAAACAACCTGGATGTCCATCAACTGATGGATGGATAATGAAACTATGGTACACTTACATTTATGCAGCTGTTTAAAAAAAGAATTTATAAAATTCACAGGTAAATGGGTACAACTGGAAATAATCATCCTGAGTGAGCTAATCCAGACTCAAAAAGACAAATGTTGCATGTTCTTTATCATAGCTAGATGTTAGCTTTGAATTCTTAGATATGCATGTTTCAATTGGAAAATCCAGGGAGGACAGGAAACTAGTAAACAGCCATGGGGAGGTCAGGGAGGCTTCATAGAAGGGTGGACAGAATGCAATGATATAGGAGGAAAGGGGCATGATCAAGTGGGAAGGGTTAAATGGGATGGGGAATGGGAGAGCAGGGCAGAAGACAGAATATGGAGAGGAATGAAAAACACAAAAGGCCTTTAGAAAAGGCCATATGGAAACCTGTCACCACAGAAGCTTCTGAAAGTGTGTGTGTGTGTGTGTGTGTGTGTGTGTGTATAAAATAAAAACAAATTAAAAGGAGTTACCTTATAATGGGGGACACTGCCCCTACTAGACAACCTAGGCTAGCAAAGTAAAAGTTCAATACCAGGAATGGACTCCCTCTTTTGAAGCTGTTGACCAGGGGACCATAGACCTTCCAACAACACTGGCTATTGCCTTTGCTCTTGGTTACCCACCAGAGCTTGATGGTAAGACCCTGTTGCTGATGACACTACACACAAGGGCTGTAGAATAAACAAGGAGAAATCAAGCTGGTACTGACTTCAAAGCTTCATCTCTACATCTTTAGTCTTCATGGTGCTAAAAAGGTGCTATGTATGCTCCCTGAAGACAAAATTAATCATCAGGCTTCCTCAACTGCGAATCCTGGGAGCTACAGCAACAACTAGCATGGCGAGTTACCTCTGGTGGGGTAGTGAGGAATATTATGGGAGTGACCAACCACTTTCTAATTGGACTTATGGTCCACTTCATAAGATGGAGCCCATATCTGACACTGATATCAGGCCTAGAAACCTGTGGCTAGATAGGGCACAGACAATAGGGGAAAGCATAATACTCTTATTCTGCTAAATAGATATAGTATTGAACTGATTCCTAATAATTTATTGTTATACCCATAGATTAATGCATCTCTTAACTCTCACCAGAGAAGCTTCCTTATCCAGCAGATAGTGATTAACACAGAGACCCAAAACTGGCCTATGTAGAGAGAATAAGAGACTACAGAGTGACTATCCCTGGAAAGGACACCTATATCAAACTTCCGTTCCCAGAGGCTCAGGGATCATTGCATAAGAGGGGGCAGAAAGACTGTAAGAGTCAGAAGTAATGGATGACCATGAAGAAATAGAGTTTTCCAGACAGCTAGGATGTTACTCATATGAGCTCACAGCAGTGATGACAGCATGCTTAAGTCTCATGTAAGCTCAAGCCAGACATAATCTCAGTAGAGACATGGAGAAGTAGGTAAGAAACCCCAATCCTACCTGAGAACCCAGAGGATTCCAGTGGCTACTGGGAACGGGATGGTCAGTCTCATTTAAGGGTGTGACTCTTGGCAGGTTAACCAGACTCCAGTGGATGGTGTAGAAAATAATCAAATGGCAAAGAATCACACAGAGTAAAGAGTCAATAAACTTTAGCTGTGGTGATATTGGTGACCACAGATGGACTGATTTTCAGGGATCCAGTTTAAATTGTAATCATTCTTTTTTAATATAGAGGTTGTAGCACATCTATTTCATTAGAATACAAGCTTCCAAAGCCCACCTGCCCAGAGCACTTACCTAGCTTAGGGCCTGGATTCCATCTTCAACATTGCCCCCCAAAACTAAATTAGTCTAAAAAAATTTTCTAATGTGTTTTAAGTCTCCCTGATTCTTTACTTTTCCATGACAATTAATTAGAATTTGGGACATATCGGATCCACAAAAATTTTCTCAATGTAAAAAATAATAATAGATATTTATTGAAGTAAATGATTATGATATACTATGAAGAACAGATAGATGCCTGAGATAGAAAAGTGAGCAAAGTTAATCTCTGTCTTCATGAAGCTGAAAACACTGGGGAGAGAGAACCAACAAATAAGTAAAACAAGGCAACCTCAACAAACTTCTCGAACTGTGGTCTAGTCTACGAGAAAACAAACAGATCCTATGAAGACAGAACAAAGAGAAGCTACTTTAGACTAAGACCCTGCAGGGTGATTTTAAAGCTGTGATCAAGTCAATCATAAGGTCGGAAGGCTGGAAAACAGCAAAGCCAGGATTTGAACCAGGAAATGTAGCACTGAAGTCCAGAGACTTACCAACAGTATCTCTGAAGGACAGACTCACCCACAACGTGGGCTTCAGGCCACTGAAATACTGACTGAATTCCAGTAACTTAGAGAAGAAAATATTTGACAAACAGAATAAACAAAGCCCTTCCAAAGTTTTATAAAAATCTGAAGAGGCAAATTAGCATGGACCCTTCAGCCTTTACCTAGACAATGAGTGTTTTCTTTCTTACCTTCACGCCGATTGCAACAATAAGATGCTTGGGAAACTGAGAGCTGTCAAAACAGTAGAGACATTTCTCCATTTGTGCAGCAAGACTCTGGTGCTCGGCGATAGCTCTTCTCCTCTGACTCTCCTCTTCACCAACATGTTCTTTCTCAGCTGCTCTGGAGACAAACATGTCATCCAGAGTATAATAATCTCCATCTGGTTTTCCCATAAACTGAAAAAAATCAAAGCAACAGTAGTGGGAGAGAAGGCAGGAGTCAGGATCTTCTCACACAGCAGCGTTCTAGTGTCTTATCATGAATGTGATACCATTGCACATAAAATAATTACTGCACTTTAACCTTGATTCCCTGAACATCAATCCATCTGTAGTCACCAACATCATCACAGCTGACATTTATTGAATCTTTACTATGAGCACTTCTATGCCATTAGATGATTTTCTACTCCTATGAGATGTGGCCATTGCTACTTTCACATAAGTGGCAAGGAAACGACAACACAGGGCGGTTAGGCTGCTTCACCTCGGAGTCAGCACACAGATCTCACAAGAGGTAAATACGCTCTGTTTCATCTCTACTGCGCTAATGCTTCTCCCAACACGTGTACAGACAGATGTTCTCAAACACAAATCATTTTCTTTATTATACTTAAAATCCTTAAAGGGTTCTACATTGTGTACAAACGCGGGTGCAAACTTGTTATAGCCTATAAAGTTCTAGATACAAAGACTTGGTTGTATAAGCCAAAATAACCACGTAAAAATTCTCTTAGCTTTGAGCATGGTATTTAATCAGTCTCTCTCTCTCTCTCTCTCTCTCTCTCTCTCTCTCTCTCT